CGCAGGCTGTAAATATAATTAACTGGAGTAGCCTATACTCAACTTCATCACGTTTTATACAGCACCGGTAGACTACTAACATATACAAAACACCTATTATCTTTTAAAGATTCAATAAAAGAGTGATAATTTTAAAATACAGTTTAAATTAATATCTAATAGGTTTTCATAAATATTGTGCCAACATTCTCAAGAACTCAATTATATTTATGAGAGATTCTAGTACATAAACATAACATTCAGAACTTGTAGAAATTGCTATTACTTTATCATGCAGTGGCAGAAAAGTTGCACCAGACTGACTATTGGCTATTATTACGAATTCTTGCTTCAATTCGGTTATAATTGCAAAGATTCCAGAACTTAGCACGCACGAACAGCAAATACAAGTTTTTTAAAAACACATTCAATGATTAAATCAGACCATTTCGTAAGAGGTTAGGTTCATAATCAGCGGTATCAAAACACAAATTTAGGTTTTAAGAGAACTCATCATCCAAACACTTCAGCATTGAGTAATTGTGCAAATCCAAGCTGGCTGAGAGAGAGTGCATTAGACTTTAGAACAACAGTGTTTGAATCAGATGCACGCTTTGCTACAAGATGTACATAAGATTCATTATGAGTTATTCCGAGTTCTATAATGACATACTTAAGTTAATAAACGAATTCAACTTGAAGATGAACCTAAGTCAATGATTAAGGGCTCCATGACATAATATGAAATGCATCAGATTGCTAATCAGTTGGTGCTGTTATTACAAACTAAAGCTTTTAGGGGAATTAAAGGTCCAAAACCTCAAATGTGAGCTTTTAATATATAAATTTATTTTTTGATGATCCATTTTTTGCACCTTTTAACTAGGATTGAAAAGAATGTACAAAATTAGAGCAGAAATTGCTGATGCGTTTTGCAACGAAAGCAATTTGTTGTTAAAGTATCATCTTGGCTTTCAGTAAAGCAACATTTTAGGGACGAGTGCAGATTTTTTTGTGCCATTGTTGGCTGCTAAAATGTGACATCGATGAGATTTTACTTTACTATGGCAGTTTTTTTAACGAAGAATACTTGCTAAGGGTCAACCCGTTTGTTAGTACAGCAGTTGTTTGGAGTTGTCTCACAACAAATTATTGCGAAAGCTTGGATTTCGACAAAAGGAAATTGAAGAAAAATATTTTCAAGTGTCGAGTATTCATAATCATAACAATGATATTTTAGAACATTATTTTATTGATAACTTGGAAAAAGATGATTAAGTGACTAGTTTACTGTTAGGATTCACTCTTTCCATGAACCGAATCATCTTCTATCGTTCTGGCATTTAGAGTACAGATTGCAGACAAATTTATAGCAATAAATCTACGTAAACTCAACACGTGTAGCTTTTTAAAAATGTCATATCTGAATTTTTGCATGTTTGCTTCTTCTTTATAGACTTCGTATGTGTGAAAAAGTAAAAATAGACATAAAAAAATGTTCAAAGTAAATTCTCTTCTATACCGCTGATTAATTTCAAAGGAATCGGTCATATTCGTTGAACACTGTTGTATAACACAACATTATTCGAGTTCCTGTTCCTATGAGAGATGGAACGGCGGCGTTTAAACGCGTCGCGTACGTGCCACTTTGAAAGGTCACTTCTTGTTGCCTTCTTTTCCATTTCTATTGCGGCGACCTTCAAACAATAACCGCGTATGTGCCTCTATGTTGAACTCCTATTGAAAATTTTCTATTCATTATACATAATGAAAAAGGAGAAAACATCATAAAGACTTTTTTCTTTATTAATTATCATTTTAATTCCAACAAATTTTACATTGTTCATAAACAATTTTATGGCTAAACAAAGAGGTTGCTTGAGTTCGAAGATTATCCACAGTTATACCTTCAAGGTACTTGGGCAATTTCGTAATATTTACTCTTTGTGGCGTGTCTCGACCGTTTTCTTCCAGAAATAAATATGTATACTGGTTTTACAGTTTAGAAAGGAATTTATGAGTAACAATTCTTAGAAATGATATTTTTAATCAAAAATTATTTATTTAAAAATGTTTTACGTCGTTTGTATCAATTTTCTGACTATTTTGTATGATTTAAACAAACACAAATTATTTTAAAACCCATTTATGTATTCTTAGGTATATTTATAACAGTAATTAAATATTTATCTTAATGTGCATCTGACAAACTGATTTCAAATCGTAGAAAACTGATAGCTCATAACTTTCACCTATTTTCAGAGAAAGTACAGTTTCCAGTGAAAACGGTCACTTAAAACGATTACAATCTTATAAAAAAAATTCTTTCATAAAAACTCAAAGCTCAAAACATTAAAAGATGTGTTGAATAAAATAATAATAGAAAACAAACAATTTATGTTTGCTTATACAATTTCGCCTTGAGAAAATGGAATGTAAGAAGACATTTCTTACATTCCCAATACAATTACATTATTTATTTTATCGATAGTGAAGTAAGAAGTATAAAGTTTTTAAAGTATGTCGTAGAGGGAACATAAAAAGGAAAGAAATCCCTCACCACAAAGTGGTGAGCGTCTCTCGTCTTTGAACGTTACGAAATCTCATCGTTTCCGACGACGAGAATGATCAGGAATAATTAACATTCGCCACATTATTTCTTAACACAACACAATGCGCGCGCGAGTAATTTGATTCTTTCGAGATTAGTTTACGTAAAACTAACCAACTAAAGGATGCTGGTTATGTAACGCCGGAGGTATTTGTTACTTTTTTTAGCAAGACGATTTAATCAAAACATTACATTCACAAAATTTCTATTAATTTTTAATTTTCGAACTTGTTTATGGGGACGGAAAAAATCGTAATGTTAAAAAAAATATTTTTCTCACAAAAGTTACAGTTAGAGTCGTTTTCTGCGATCGTAAAAAGAACCGCTTAAAAGATCGTAATCGTGTTCGAAAAAACGAACTGGGTCAAGAGACTGTTGCGGAAAATAATAAAAACCGGTGATGAAATGTCGTTTGGGTGGCGTTTTTTTTTCATGTTGCAGTTTTAATTAGGTCGTTTTTAAAGATCCACACGGTAAAGTCATTGATTCATTTCATTCCATTTAATTATCATGATATTTTTGTAAATTATGATTAAGATTCGAGATTTCTCTCGTTAAATATAAGGAAATATGGCATAAGGGAATAATTTACTAAATGAATATTCTAAATTTAAACCCATATCTGATAAGAATCACGACCGACTTTTTAAATGAACGACAGTTATGTATATAAATCAACAATACTTTATCACCTACTCTGTACAATATTTACTGTTTCGACATTTTCTCTCCAAACCTAAATATTTGACCTAAATCGATATATCCTACAATACGCAGACGACACGACATTGGTCAACCACCAAAAAATCCTAATCAAAGCAAAAAATGCAAATTCTACAACGTGACACTTGTCTGGTTATTCAAATGGAGACTACAATCCAACCCTTCCAAATTCTAGCTCTTACTACCTTACCACAACATCAAAGAAAACTCTCCCTACATCCAAACAGAATATGGTAAATTGAGACCATCGAATAACATAAAATATCTAGGTATGATTTTGGACAAGAAAGTACGTCTTAAGAAGCAGTTCAAAGAAAAACAACTCGAAGCAATAAGGAGAGCAAAACACTTTCCAAGCTTAACGTATGGGAATTAAGGAATTTCCACTAAAACGGCCGTACACATCTACTAAGCAATAGTAAGACCTTTGTTGGATTATGGATATGTCCTAACTACCAGTCACTGAAACAAACACTCGACATTATCAATAAAACGGAAAGAAGATGCTTAACATTTTGTGAATTATATGTGCTTATCTCGAAACAACGACGAAAATCCCAGACATAAGATCACACTATTAGAAAAACATTAACATGAAAAATAATGTGTAAATAATATGTATGTATAAATTATAAATAATTTGTAACAATTTTCTACGGTGGAAAGACTTGCAAATGTAGGTCCATAGCCGAATAAAGATATATTCTCTCTCTGTAAGAAAATATTTAGTTTACACAAACTACCACCACCTCCGAAACAAAAAAAATCCTTATTTTTTTTTTGTTTTAGTTTTTTATCATGTCGGTGTATAGAGTTGGCTATCATAACTTGTTCGTAATGCGGCTCGGCGGCCGTTTCACGACAGTGATGTGCCGATCGCTATTATTACGTCCCATAAACGTAAGAACGCGCGCGGATTATATGGAGGAATACTTGTGTATCTCATATAGGTATATAGTCGGCTCCTCTTCTTTTACTATGCCGGGTATACTAACGGCAAGGAGAGGAGACCCAACCAACCTCTAAGAACGCGTATAACTGAACAAATTGCTTCCTCTCCTACCCCGAACACTAACGGAATTAATAGAGTACGCTCGGTTTACAATGGTAATGGTTCCCGTCGACTTCTTATTCTCTCCTTCCGTCTTCTTAACCTTTTACTTTAGTGTATTTATTTATTTGTAGAAGTAGTACAAAAAGAAGTATTCTTAGGTTTTGATTTTAACTTTATTTTATTGAAAAATTCATTTAAATTTTATCTATACGTATTATATGTACGTATAAAGTTTATCATGTATTAACTATCCATTAGATAAATCATCTAGAAGTTAGCTTCTAACACATAATTTACAAAGTCGCACGTTCTACTACTTCCCCATATCTAACAGATTAGATAAGTAAACATTATACATATTATAAACATTATAGGGATTTATTTAGGGATAAGTCTACAACTAGATAATTTAACCATATGGTAACCTCAAAATCAAAACCAATCATTGGCTATGATTAATTCGTAATTGATTTTTAAGTTGCCGATAACTATAAAATAACCGCTATCTATTAGATAACAGCTTAACTACAGTTAAAGTAGCCAACAGCTATTTTGTTTTTGTCACCAATAAATTATAAATATTTTGGTCTTCTTTGTTTAGATGTTTAATTTTTGTTCTTTTCATTGGTGCAGGAGTGTTTGAAGATCTCCAAATCATTACTAGATGGCACGTGTGATAATGATTCTAAACTTTTATCACTAGATGGTAAGATAATCCAATAGTATGTTTTGAAATACGCCCTGTGCAATTCTAGTCCTTCTTACCTCGGTCTAAGAATATATTGAAGCTTTTATTACCGCAGTGACCAATTTTTATAAGAGATATTGGAATGTTGTGGTATTTAAGCTTTCATTACCTAAAAATGATAACTGGTAAACATTTCCCAACAAAATCCCAAAAAAAAAACAACTTACCTCTTGGTGATTAAGATAAAAATTTTAGCAACCTATGTTAAATGAATCTTAAGACTCAACCTCAAATCTTTAATCGAACGATTTGGTTTTAGCCCAAAAGAAAAAAAATCCTGCTTTAGAATTCGTTGTTTAGAATTTGATGTGTGCACATAAAAATGTCAAAGATCTAATAATGCAAGTAGATGTGCAACATAACGTTTGGCGTTTAGCGTCTGTCAGAAGCTTCCATATCTTTTTACTTACTTAATATAAGTATAATTCAGTATTAAGAAACTGTGCAAGTGGTACCAGTGATATTCCAAACGTTTTCTTTGGGATACAAATTGAGCATGGCCAAATTTTTTTAAATATTGTTATATTACTTACGCTTGGAAAGTTATTAAAGAGGTGTAATATAAAAACTATAAAAACAATTTTCCAGTAAAGACAGAGTTAAGAAGCAGAAATGTGAACGATTTAAAAAGTGGATTGAAATCTTTACTAAATCACTCCAGCAATCAGAAAACTACCTGATTTGCATCTTGTAAAATAGTTCAAGTTCTCACAAAAGATAAGAAACCCTAGAAGATGGGACGATAGTAAATGAGACATTTATTTTTAGAAAGATTTCAATAATAGTTACCTGAATAAACTACTTTTTTACAAGAAACATATGATACAGATATGACGTATCATTTAAACACTATTTAATTAATGTGGCAAGGGAAAATAAAACCATTACTAATATGATTAGCACAATAAACTCCTTTAAAAGTAAATTGCAACTATTTATTAAACTACTAAATAAGAATAAGAAGAAAAATATAGAAAAAATATCCGACTTTGAAAGCAAGGACAAATTCTCAATTAGATTGTGGTGTTATGTGGTAAAAATAAAAAATGTTCTAAGTGAATTTAACAGAAAATTTTCCAAATTTTTTTTGATATTTATAGTACCTGCAGACAATTAAGCAGTACATACGAGGCTGTGTTTTCTTCTTAAGATGAACTTACAAAAAGACATTGACCAATAAACCTAATTGATGGAGCGATTTTCTGACGTAATATACACATTAAAATGTTAAATGTCTGTGTCATGTATAATTCTTAATTACAACCGGTACAGCACGTGTATACGACAGTACATTTGTGGATTAAGAATCCAGTTCAGTTCTTAGTTGTCACATACCTTAAATGAAATCCTGATTTAAATACAACACAAAGTTATGACGATTTAAAAATTACACAAATAAACTATTAGTCACTCTTTAAAAATTCCCTGGTGCTTTGATATTGTTTTTAGAATGTTACTTTTTTCCAGAACAAGTTTTGAGACGTGTTACCTAATAAAAATGCCTATTGAATAAGTAACAGGAAAATTTTATATGATATTGGATTTAACTAAAGGATTATATAGAATTGTAAAAATTTAAACTTTAAGCTCGTCTAACACTTCTCCAAACTTGTCAGATAAATCTATGTGTCTTCAGTAGCTTCATTCAAGTTCTTTACGACTTCCTTGTACGTTTTCGCAAATCAACACAATCCTTTTCTATTTTCCTGCTGTTCAACTCACAAATGAAATAGTTGCATTTTATGATGCTTTGTGACTTTGTGTGTGTTTGAAAACTTCCATAACATTTTTTAATGTTACATAATTCTTGTATCTGTACTAAATATCCTATTGGGATTGGCAATATCAAAGGGAGATGTATGAATACAACTTTAAAGTTCATTTTAGAAGAATCCAGCAGTGCCATAAAAACCAAAATTATCTGTTATCGTACAGAAAGATTATAAACTTAGTGATCAAGTATATGTAGATAATAATATTGTTTTTGAATACCACCTTAATTCCACCAAAGGAATAGGAACATGATTCAAGATAATTTAGCAAAAGAAAGTTGGCGAAACGAAAGAACAATGTGGTAACTCGTTGGCGTGGTTTTGCGGTGTGAATTTAGACAAGAACTAAGAAGCTCCATTACATTCCTTCTTTACAGGGTGGTTTGAATCTACAAAATTAAATTTGTCACAGATTTAGCAGCAAATAGGAGAAGATATATTGAAGATTATTGCTTTGGTCTTTATATCACCCCATAAAATCGCTGGTTGATATGGTTGATGTAAGACATTAATTACATACAGTACACTTTGTATTTAAACATAAAATTTGAAAGGTTCAAAATACATATTTCCAGAATGTTTGGTTATAACCATAAAGACAAAATGTTGAAAGTCTAATTGCCTAAAATACCTATAACACAATTTTAACAGAAAAGATTACGTAGATTATTAAAATAGTCCACGAAATTTTCTAATCTACTTTTAATTTGTACGTAGTAAAAAGTAGGTAAAACGGAAGTAAACGTTTCGAAAACAATTAGTCACGTTCTGTCACCACGTGACTTACTCAAACGCTATTGACACAATTGTGAGTCACTTAGAAAAAAAAATCGAACGGAAATTGTATTAAAATTACGGCAATTTTTGGTTAAACCGTAAAATCCTAAATGATTTTATCGCAAAAAAACTTAACTCAAATAACATAAATCAAAACGTTTTCTTTATGGTTTCTTTTCGTGTTTAAACAACTTTAAAGTTAGAGTTGTGTTACGTGACAAAGACACGAGAACGAACTGAACTCAGCTCCCATACACATTAAATTAAGCCACTTCCTTAGCCGGGGAATTGCAATTATACCGCTTGCTGTGATACGGTTACTCCCAGTTGGTACCACGATTGTTTTTACTACTTGAAGACAATAAACCCAGAACGCAAAACGAAACAACTCCTGAGCACCACCCAAAAAAATCTTAAAATAATTTGACTACCTCTATTACTGTTGTTTGTAACTTTTAAAAAGTTAATAAGTAACTTCTTGTATACTGTAAGAAGCTTGTAACTTGGTAAGTCACGCGTTTTGTGGTGACAAGAAAAAAAGTTTTATATCGTTGCGAAGAGTTAGTTGTTGTTGCACGTGAGATACACAAAAAAAGTTCCGCTAACAATGTCCTCGACGTCCAATGGGGTCGTTTGTTGTTGCGCGACCGCACACAACCTTCCACTTCCTTCATAACTTCCGCAGGCGGTCGGTTCTCTTTATGGAATTTACCGCTACATGGTCCCTAATTAAGTATTCTTCGAGCCTTTTAAGGATTAAATTGTTTAGACGTCGCCGAATTATTAATTGGATACGACCGAAAAAAAAAGAATTAAAAACGGTATTTACCGTTAAATGCATTGTTCATTGAAATCAATATTTTTGATTAAGAAATTAAATTAAAAAAAAATTTAATAAAATAAAAACCAACATCATGTTTCAACATGATACAGCAGTAAATAGTAAATAACGAAAATTGGAGAGAGAGTAAGCGATTTAAAATTGGAATGTGCGCCATATGGTATGAGAATAATATACATACAGAGTGTTTAATTTTTACATAATTAAAATTTTTTTAATGACGGCAACGCTTTAATAAAGAAGATGAAATGACACGAGATATATGTTTTCCTACGGGAGTCACGCTTGATTGTGTAATTGCTCTTGGGGAATGAACAAAGCAGCGACACCCTACGGGCCCGGGCATTTATCAAAATAAATAATTAGCAGTTGTTGCCGCGGAGTGAATACATTCCAGTTCCAGCTTAGGAATTCCCCCTTATCTCAAACGCTTTCTGTCCTAATCCTTTTATTTTCTCAATTAACGAGAACAACTTCAACTATTTTGCCTACCACGAAGAAGTAATTAATTTGAAAAATATTCTATTGTAATGATCATTATAAAATATTCCATCTCATTACTACATATTCATCCCGAATTACTATTGGGTTTATGGTAGTCAGTTTCGATTTTTAATTTTTTTGAGTTTGAAACTTATTTTGTACTACAGATAATTCCTGATGATAGTAGGTATATGTTGAAATCGGTAAAGAAATTATACTTATATTATTGGAGTTGAGATGATTTTTATTCTATCTTCGTATTCTTTGAAGATGTAGACTTTTATGAGCATCTATAAATGTAATGTCGTTATCGTTATCATATACAACCTAGGTATATAGGTTATCATGTATAACCTCATCTGAAAGTAGTCAAGAATGTATAGTTGGGAATACATGGTCTTGTCATGAATCGCTCTGGCTATCAGGCCGATGAATGGAGGGATATAATCTTCTGTTGATGAGTGAGAAACTTCTTTAGAGATGTTTCAGAGTTGAACGATTTCTAGCATGGAATGTTGATAAATAAGTAAGATGTACTAGTAAGGAAGAATAAATGTCGCAAATCTTGCTCAGTATTAACTTCGGTGGCGTACACTGCGTTTTTTAAGTGACCCCAAAAATGAAAATCAAGAGGATTGAGGAGATTTGAGTAGGATTGAGAGGATCAAGAAGTAGTCCAATGACTAGGCCATGGCTAGATATATCTATTTTCTGGAAAATGCATTATCTAGATGGTGTTGCACATCCGACAGAAAACATGGTGGAACACCATCTTGGAGAAACTACATAGCTTGTCTAACGTCAAGAGCTACATCTTCGAGCAGTCCCGGAAAATTATCGCCCTAAAATTGTAAATAACGAGTACCAGTAAATTAGTTCTCCAGAATGAAAGAGCCAATAAGTTAGTCTATTCAGAATTTCAGCTCACACATTCACAGAAGAACTTTGTTGAAAATGTGTGCGGCGAGTAACATGAGGATCCACGCTTCAATAATTCGTGTTATGAACATTGTGAATATTATTGCTTGTGAAAATCGCTTCATTCGTAACTGAAACGTTATTTGTAACGTTTGAGTTCAACTGTA